GTCAAAATTGTACAATATATTATCAAAAAAAAAGTTCACCTCTTGTAACAGCGTCAAAACGGTGCGGGCAACTCCTGAGCGGTAAAGCCAGCGGTTGAACCGGTGCTGGTGTTGTGGTTGCAAAAATTCTTCGCCAGATGGGAACCTCCGTGGCTACTGGCGCTGCTTTATCCAATTCCTGTGGTACTTCGATGGGAACGGTAGTCGCTGTGGTAGTCGGTGTGGTCGTGAACCAATATGGTTCCTCTTCTGTTTCGGACTTCTCTGGTTCTTGCTTATAAGAGTCGTGAACCGGTGATGAAGCTTCCGAGTACCGCGGTGTTGAGATTCCCCAATAAGAATCAGGTGAACTACTCCATCTTGATGTCTGTTCCGTTTCTGGTGCTGCTGTTTCTCTCTCCGCTTCCCACGTCGGATTTTCTGCTTGTTGCTGCTCTTCACCCCAGTCGGCTGTGTTAGGTGCTTCAGCAGCCCATTGAGTTCTTAGATCACCATCATCATCGTCCAAAAATTGGTATGCATAAGCGTAATTTCGTTTGTCCAAATGTCTTGTATGTCGCGGTCGTTTCTTCCCTAAACTATCAAAATTTCGAAACAAATCTATGTTCTTTAGTTGGGTTACTGGGTTGACCTTGCGCTGCATGCACATGCGGCATAAATCATCCTATAGGTGCATCAAAATGTAAGCGCAGCCGCTGTGTGTAACTTGGTCAGCAGTTTAAAATCACTCATAATGCCGTACTGGTAATTAAGCGGTCGAAGCGCACACGAAATTAGTCAGCTAGCAGTTTCACTATATTTGCTGAGTAACAGTGCACACCAATACTCCAACTCAAACATTTAACTTACTACGGATGCTCAGCTGTTAGTATGTCAGCACATGGAGACTTAGAGAACTTCATCTATTTTTAATCGTTCTGTTAGATGTAAAATTGTTCCGCCCTGGAGTTGTGAAATACAGTTTTTATGTAGGCGAGCGATCATAGCTAAAGTATTGCTGAAATCTGAAACTAAAATATTAATTCACTCGCTTTGCTCAGAACCCACTTCCAAAATTACTACAGTAAGATTGCCCAGCGTAAAGGTGATGGATTGTACTTTAATGTGGCGAATTCACAAACAGTTCTATACAAGCTTCACGCTTTCACTTCCGATATCAGTCATCTTTATTCCGCGGACTTCAGCAATCTCTTTACTACCTTACCACATACGGAGATTGCTAGCAATTTGAATTATCTGATGGGCCTATGTTTCTTTAACGCATGTAAGGAGTATTTGGCTGTTGGACACAGATAAGTATGGTTCACTAATGAAATTCGTACTGATTTCGCCTTCTACACCAAAAACGAAGTCAAAGGGATTCTACGTAAAACGAAGTCAAGGGGATTCTACGTATTATTCTTTCCGAAACATAGGTCTGGTGGATATTTGTTTAGACAGATGTAGGGTGTCCCCATGGGCAGAAACGCTATCCCTGATATCGGGGATCTGTCGTCATTCGTAATAGAATTTCATTATATTCGCAAACATCCCAATAGTGGGCTCTGTTTCTTCCGCTACATCGGTGATATTTTGGCGATCAATTGTCCGGATTCCTTTGACCACGCCAAACACATTTGTGAAACTACCCTTACAATAAATACTGCTTATTCTGGACGGCATTGCTTGTTTTCTTGGCCTAGCAGTCAACTGTGCTGGCAGACGGCGCATGTTTGACGTTTATAAAAAACTCTGGATTATTTCTACCCCGTCAATCAAGTCAGCCATCCAGACAGTGATGTTGGTCTCACATACATGATGGAATAATTATGTTCCAGACACTCCGGTACGCAAGAATTAGCAGTACAATCCACAGATTCAAATGGAGGGCCAGACGACTAATTAAAATCTGTGAATGTTGATTAAAATTTAGTTTTCGGAATCATCCCATTTAAAGCAAATTCATTGACATGGATAACGAGGGAGTTAGGAATTTCTGGCAGTCCATAACGCACTGATCAAATCGATAGGGACACCACGTATGAGATTTTCGTTGCACTGACAGAAAAGATATGCGCTTATATTGGTGTGATTAATAATTTTCAGCTAATATAGCGTTATCTGGTGAACCACAGGCAAAAAAAAAAAAACGAAGATAGAGACATATCTGCTACATGTTAGTTTTACTTTTCCTTCTGCCGTTGCAACATTAAGCTTCTATACATTCACGTTTGTTTCCTTCCTTTCATTCATTTTCCTTCGGTAATCCACATGTTCCCTTTTATATGGCAGAATGGGTCACTGCACTGATGATTCCCACCCCATTCCTCACCGATTCTGCTGTCTGTGTGTACAGCTCAGAGATGCAACACAAACAGGGTATCAGCTCGATGTACATACAAGCTTGCTTATCTGGGAAATCTAAATGGCAGTTCCAGTTTTTCCTTAGCTGTCAAAATTCGATTGTGTTCCTCTCCACGATGGGACAACAGCGCCAAACAAACTGCGTATGTTAACACATAGAAGGTCCTCTTCCATTCCCATAGGCAGAGATATTCACTGTTTGCATCTTTCAGATTTCTGAAACACTTACGCAGTCAATCAGCAACCTAGCAGTTTCGAATCTCGAATTTTTTCCCCGAATTTATAATTTAAATCAAATTCGAATCTGGGTTTGCAAGTCAGGACGCAACGTGACTAGGATCTGATTTCATACTAACTGGCTCGAATTATTTGAGAAATCATTATTGCAAAATCTTCACATTTTGGCCTTGTCATCTCTTGAGTTATAAAAATAGCGTGCATTTGGACCTGAACTCACACATCAAGACACACATATGCATGCATACATACACACACATAGAGAGGGGTGACCTCAAGAAAGAGGTACATTAATTTCAGACCTATGGTCGAGTTAACACTTGACTACTATGTCGCCAAAATTTCAGTTTTTTAGTTCCGCAATTTATCTATAGATAGACACATACACACGAAACGACATCATTGTAATACTTTTTTGCACAAAATAATCACGCATAATTTATTTTTGCGAGACTACATAAAAGTGTAAAACAAACGTCCCGAACTTTTTTTTAGTCCCTCGAATCTTTTCAAAGACCCGAAATCCGGTCCAGTTAAAAGTTTTAAAGCTAAGACAAATACTTACACGAATTCGTCATCTTTATGCACCTCATCGCGCTCTAACTTTGTCACACTAACTCATTTTATGAATGATATACTGCGAAATGTAAGTGGCATTTACTTTCTTAGCGCTTTCTTAACGCTTTCCCACTTATGATTTATTTTATAATTTCCTGCATTATTTTCTACTTTTTTGTAAACGGTGTGTTTCAAGGCTGATAAAGTTATCGTTTCATTAGCTCTGGCCGTTTATTTAGCTTTGGCAAGCAAACCAGAGGAGAAATTGATAAAGTTGCTTACACCGAACGTTCCCAGTAATTCGAGGTCCAGTAAATTAAGGTTGCCCAAGATAGTGTGATGGACCACTGAAGCCGCTAGAATGCGGTCACAAGAAGAGCCTGATTACAGTAGACTGTCATATTTTCAACTACACTGCTTGTATGCGTTTTTGCTGCGCAGCGCTATAGCGCTGCTATAGCCAGCAAAAACGCATATTGTGGAGGAGCTGTGTGTGTGTGTGTGTGTTCGGAAGCGAGTGCATTTTGTCACCCACTTTCGTCTCAGCAAGTAGGAAAGCTGGAAGGCTGAAAACTTGGATATATGTTCCTACCCCATGTGTCATCCTCCTGTTTCAAGAACTTCCTCCACACGCGCCTACACCTCGCGTACGCTCTCCTCTCCCTCTCTCTCTCTCTCTCCCCCCCCCC